TAACGAAATTGCAACGAAAGAATTTACATCTAACAAGATCTAATTATTTTCTAAAAACTGAACTGCAAACCGAAATACCCAACGCTTTAACGAAAATAAAACTTCTCTACTTACAATAAACAACTACCACGTGCGAATTTAAAGAGACGTCATAAATCACGCCATTCAGAAACATTTATTTCCCCTTTTGTTTATATAATCAAAAACATGTGTATGTGAGTCATGCTACTCTCATTTTGAGTAGAAGGTCTAATGTATATGTATCTGAAACCAAATGGACATACAGTGCCATCTTGTGGCAGAAATCATAGTTTTTAAAACGTTCCAGGACACTGGCACAAGTATGTGACAGTCGAGGCTGAATGGGAAAATGCTCTGGCACGCCTGCATGTCGGCCAGGAAGTGAGTGTGTTCGTTGCTGCCACCTAGACGTGACAGTCGGCACGAAGGGGTTAAATGGATGGCCGCAATGATATTTCCTTTTGCCGAACTTCAATTTAACAACTTCCACCATTTTATCTTCTCAGACAGGCTCGAACCAACGAGCTCCAGCGAAAGATTTTTCAACATCAACAGGGTTGCCACACAACACGCAATTGCACCAAAAACCAGCGCAGAACACCTATCACCACATTTGGTGAAATTAGGGAGTATATCAGAGTTGTACCAAAATCTCTATTAATAAATTCAGAAATTTTAAAAAATTACAAAAATGAATCTTACCTTTTCATTCATTCGTTTTTTGATTGTGACAAAAATTTCCCTCAGAAACTGCAAAAAGCGGTCACTCGCAGATCATGTACTCGGCCAGGTACGAATCAAATTCATCTTTTACCTGCCAAGTACCCTTCAGACTTCTTTTTATGGCGCTCCACATGCCCTCAATTGAATTCGTATGAGCACCTGTTTCATAATCCTTAAAAGCGAGACTGATTAGCACGAAAGTGCATGAAACTCTCATCACTGAGGCAATCATACAATTTCTAACAGTCCGTAATAATAATGGATCCAAGCAAAATATTTTCTTTAATAATTCTTAACAGACATTCTTTCGTTCCCTCTTCAACCACATGAAAAAAACACTTATTTATTTCTCTTTCAATACCTCCAAACACCCATTTACCTTCCACGATTGTATTTTCTTTTACCAAATTGATGTTCCTCAAATTTCAACCACACATCCGGGTGGTCCAAGTACGTCATTCTCTCCCAAGCACATCTCCACACACACCTCTCTGCAAAACATCTTCCAGTCTACCATAGTGTAGTTACTCACATGCAACTCATCTATTATAAACTGATTCGTAAATTTCTGACCCCACAAATATGTTAATTAAAGGATCAGACTCGTAGGTATTCGTGCCTCGGAAAACCCAGAGCCCTTTATCTCACACTGATTTTGACATCGTGCTTGGAAGGACCAGACACACGACACCTCCAATTCAGACGAATATGTCGCATCTTTCCTTTCAACTGATTTCATACTATTTTTACATTTAGGACATTCGTACATATTCTCAATCAAGCCATAATCCATGCACCATTCTATCACACGCCTTTCACCCTTATCTTGCAACCAAATTGAATAAGTAAAATCCACACGTTCAACTCTTTCGACACCAGCCATTATGCTTACACACACTACGAGAAGCACAGTGAAATGATGAAAATTCAAAATGCCCACTAAATACTATATAAACAGTGACCTTAAACCCTAACAATTTTCATGACGCCAAGAGGTTGCCAGATTTCGCTTCATTTGGTGACTGGACCACAATCTGCAGTTTAGCCCATTCAGTCTTGTTATGAATCATGCTGATGATGATCTTACTTCTCATTTTAACCTGTGTCGTTTGACATAAAATCTATGTCTATTTACTAAAGGCCAGTTTAAATCTGTCAAAGCAGCTCATAGCGAGCCGCTCGTCCAGACGTTTAGACCTGAGTGAACGGACCTGTACTCTGATAGATTGTTTACACCAATCAGAGTGGACTGACAACTCACCTCCGTTTGTTTACGAAATGGATACCGACGTGGCAGCTGCAGGAAAGAATATGCATAGAAAATACATAGATGTTCTTTGGCTGCAGTGCTTGAAGTCTGCAAAGCAGTTTCAAACAAATTAATTTCTGCTCTTGGGATGGGGAAAAAAAGAAAAGGAAATGGGTACGTGACTGGGTCATATTTTATAAAACTTTAACGGTTATTAAATGAATTAGGAGTGTCAAATGAACTATTAAATGAATTTCGGACAAGGATGTCCTAAGTTGAAACTTTATTGTATTTCAGATACAAGACTTAAAAAACTATAAACATATTGAAATTTATTCACCTTCAAAATATATTCATTAATATCAGAAATTCAGTTTACTGAGGGAAGAATTTAAAAGAAACTCAGTTTTTGAGAGAAGTTATTTAGTCAACTGTGGTTATTGAAATTCAAATTAACAAAGTTTTTTCTATCTATATACAACTGTTTATTTACACCTAATTAATCATTTACAAAATAATGTAAAAGTAATAATGTGTTTTATTATTTATTAATAGAAAGAATATATTTATTCATCCAGAATCCACAGAATCAGTAGCTCTCTGTGCATGTAATTAATTATGCAGAGTTCTGACTGGAACTGTGTTATTTCTAGAGAAGAATGCAAAATTAACACATGGAATATTAATTCAAAGCTACCATTAACACAACAGAAGCACAACTGCATAATATCTACCTAATTATTCAGAAAATCTCAAATAAATAAAAAGTAGCAAAAAACTTGGGAGCATTACATATATTACCACAGGTAAAAGAATGTATATATTATGACATAGTTCCAACAGGAAGATATTTATCGCAAATTGTTACTTTTGGATCCTATTGAAATTGTGTTTCTGGACAACACACAAAGTGATATCAACAAAATTAATAATATAGTGATTTACTTTTAAAATGCTAAAACGGATAGTTTAAGAAGATTAGAATTCATTTAGCATAATTTGTATAAACCTTAATACACCTTCAGTACTTGCACTCGCACATCCAAGCTGAATTGTAACGAATTATAGCTCAGAATGTTTTTATACAAAGCAAGAAATTTAAATATCCCCAATAAAACAGATCTACTTTTTCATAATTCCATTTTATTTTTTTATAATATCATATATTTATTGCATCCTCATGTTGGGATGCTTGTAGAAAAATGAATATAAGCTCACATAATTATAGAAGTATGCAACTTATTATGAAGCAGTGAAGTGTTCCCTAAACACTTCATAAGATGCGTATGCATTAAAAAATGCCATGGTTTGGCTACTTAATCTCGGCATTATAGAACTCACTGTCACGACGTCCCTGCGAACGCTGCTCGGATAGATTTTTCAACAGGTTCAAAGTAGAAACGGAAGCGCTGACTCATCTCCCCTACGTTTCTACTCCGTCGAAGTGAGCGTTTACATTGTCAAAGTAATCGTAACGAGCGACTCGCTCCGAGCCACTCTGACAAGTGTAAACTGACATTAAACCTCTAGACAAGCGGTTCTCAACCTTTTGACTAACGTGTACCATCTGTAAAAAAAACTAAAAACCTTTAGTACCACCACCACTCTTGACCAAAGCTCAGATCGCATAAATTTACGAGTGTTAGAGAAAAACTCAATCAGGATGTTGGGGTTGTGATTTCTGAAATAAATAGTTTAAAATACTTTTCTTCTTTCTGTACCACCGATTGAGAACCTCTACTTAGACTGACCCAAGTATGTGACAAAATCAGATATGAAAAATCAAATAAAGCTAACATTAGTAAAACGTAATGTCACTTATCTTCTTTCAATATGTCCAACTGTTATAAGGTAAAATATTTAATGCTACTTGATAAACTACATGAAGTTTATTTTATTCTCAAACTTATGTTAATTTATTCATGTTTAGTAATAATGCATGTTACTTAGGGATCTATTTTACTTTTAGGATTGTATTACAAAAGTGAAATTCAGGCATAGAATAATATTTTAAATTGAATTTATTCAGGTCCCATTTGGTCATAGGTCCTTAATTTTTTTCACTAATGGGCCTTAAAAGTACTTAGCTTCCGTGTGCAGAAATGTGTACGAACCCTGTTATCTAATGTGTTTGGGGGAAATAAGTGCAACCTTTACTGTCTAAAAACTGTTTACTTTCACAAAATGAAAATACAAACTTTAATGTTTTAGAGTGAACGTATAATAAAAAAGATCCCCAAAAATGAGGTTTCAATCAAATTATTTTTAGACCAGTAAAGATCAGATTTCAGTGTTATACCTTGTAAAATTAGTATATGTAGAAAAAAAGAATATTTTTTTTCTTCTGAATTGGTTGGATGTCATATGTAGGTTTTTCATATCAAGTCGTACACAATGTCGGAGCAGTACAGTCACTGAACACTGGTGTATTTCTGAGCCAGTTTCTCTTAGAAAGTCCTCCACGAAGGCATCCCTCCCTTTATTAAGATAACCCTAGTGGGCTTTGCCGTAATTAAATAAACCAAACCGTACACAATTTCGAGCATTTTTCAGAGAATAGTCGCAATCCTCATCTGATGTAATGTATTGTGAGGTGTCCAATCCTAAAGATGACAGAAAGTAATCATCTATTTCACTGTCGTCACTCTCGAGCATGTTTGTAAAAAAAAGCACCTACTACTACAAACAGTAAACAAAAACGGAAGACTCAGAATAAAAAAATAAGTTTTACTCAAACAAAAACACACAATAACTGGCAGGCTTTAATCGTCACTGTCGGACATATTCATAAAAGAAATATAGTCTACAGTAAACAAAAGTGAAAGATGCAGAATAAAAAGTATGTGTTACTCAAACAGAAAAACAAGCCTTATGTATACGCCTGCGGCAGGTAAAGTACCAATTAAAATGGATTGTGGAAAAAAGTAAATGATTTGATGTTCATATGCTATGTAACAATGATGCATCAAAAAAATTTATTTCTGATGTATACTTTTTAAATCTTTAGGGTATGTTATCTACAGAATTCGAATCCGCCGTGGTGGACGCAAGAAGCAAGTTCCCAAGGGTTGCACTTACGGGAAACCAAAAAATCATGGTGTTAATCAATTGAAGCCTGTAAGGAGCCATCAAGCTGTTGCTGAAGTAAGTTGCATGTTGACTTTGGTGCTTTTTTTGCCAACCAAAGTATAATTATGTAAAGCTTATATTTAGATATCTCTTGATTTAAAATGGAAGAGGACTATATTCTAAGAGAATACACTGATCTCATCATAAATATCATTCTCTTAAAAGTAAGCTACACATTTTTCTTTGAAATTAGTGCTGCTATCTAAACAATTTTGACATAACTTTACCTCAAGGGAGACTCACGATTTTCGACCGCTCTCCCGCCAACCCGATTTACAATATATTTTTCCCGACTTTTTCTTATTCTTAAAATTTCTCACGATTTTTATGGAACTTTGCTTAATACTTTTTTATATGAACAATAAAATGTGATTTTGGATGTCTGAAAGCAATTGAATTTTCTCTAGATTATATCTAAAACAAAACCTTATGAATTAGATAACTTCTGCTTTGTGAGTGAGAGCATGTACGTATCCAGAAACGTCATTCTCCAGTTCTCCAATGGGCATTGTGCTCCACTGCGTGTCATCTCGCATATGTTAACCAATGAGGACAAAGCATGCTGTTATTTGGATGTTCTTTAGTTAGTTCGGTCATTTTATCCTGAGTTGACGTCATTTTGTCTTGAGTACACGTGCCTTCGGAAAATAGTTTTAGAAATTATCATCTTTTCTTATAGTACTGCGAAAAAGGCGAAATACTCGTGTACGTTTCAAAAATTGTACACGGTTGACTTTCCTTCCATTATTTCCTCAAGGAAATGTATAAATTGCAAGTGTTCAACTGTTGTTGCAATTTTCGATTTTCGCATGGTGGAAGAGCGGAAGTTCTCAAACATGTGCGTACACAAAACCCAAGGACAAATGAGTTGTTTTTGAGAAAAAAACGAAAATTTAATTTTATTGGGAAGAAAAGAACTATAAAGTTTATTGTGCAGAATATCTGTTCTCTGCCTTTTTACTGGAGCATAACCTGTCACTGAATGCATCGGACACGCTGCGACTTTATTTTAAAAAAATGTTTCCGCGATAGTGAAATCGCTAAGAAATACTCAAGTGCAAGAACCAAAACAGGTACAATTTTAAAGAAATGGATTGAAAAAATAAATCCTCAGTATTGATTCATTAAACAGCTGCGTTTCTGCCTCTACGGATGGAAGCAATAATACCAAATCAAAACTGTATCCAATTAGTGTTTCTTTTTTTAATCCAGAGTCTTCAGAAAATGTGCAGTTTACTTTACAGTCCCCACTTTAGAAGGACATTTGACAGGCTTTTTTATAGCACAGCTAATTATTAAAACTTTAAAAGAAATGTTTCCTCTGATAATTGCTTAGCACTTGGTTCCGATAAGCACCAGTAATGGTAGACTTAAAGATGGGTTGTAGGCATTTAAGAAAGGCAAATTCAGATTTGCAGATTTGAGGTGCACCTGTCACCTCTTAAATTTAGCGCTGAAAAGGGCCATAATGTGAATGAACACATTGTGTATTTACGATATCTTGAAAGGAGTTCTAAAAGGAAGGAAAAATTGAAACATTTCCAACAGCTGCATAACAGCAGTTACAATTAGAAAACTTGGATGAAGTTATAAATCATTAGATGACACCCAGTGGAGTTTAATTGGAAAACTGAAAGATGCTGATGGAATTTTAAAATATAGTGAACTATCTAGAATTATGTTGGCCATCTTAACAGTTTCCCATATTAATGCAGAGTGTGAGATGATTTTCAGTGTTGTTGCGATAACGAGGACTAAATTTAGATCTAAAATTAGTGATGACACATTAGAAAAACTTTTATTAGCAAAAGCAGGCTTACGTGGCAATTGCAGTGAACAAAATTATGAAGTTTCTTTCTTAAAGAAAGCAAAATTTGCTACTGTTTATAACATTTGTACAAAAACTGATGAAAGTTGTTTTTTGTTTTTCGTTTTCTTAAACGTTGCAAGTAATAGAAATGTTTTTTTATGGTAAGGTATTTTTGTGTTGTTGCATTTAAGAATTTAGTTACATTAAAGTTAATTCTATTAAAACTATATTTCTCATTTAAAAAGTCTTTTTAACATTGTGGAAAATCTCCTGATTTTTGAGTGTCATAGGTTGGCAAGTATGTGAGTAAAAGTAAAAGCAAACTGTTCTTGATGTTTCTTTAAATTGAATTTCTAAATAATTTTACCTATGGGGTTGGTTTTCTTTATTACGTTTTGGTACAATTCTGATTTGAGGACCGTAAAAAATCGCCAAACTATTGTTGATGCCAATGCTGTCAAAAATAATTGTGGCATCCCTAATGCAAGTAAGAAAGTGTAATAGTAAATAACTATTTAAGGTTATTGTTTTAATTTAGATGAAAAGTTAATTTTATGTAATGCATTTTTTATTATTATAATTTATATAAAAAAGGCTTAAACATAACTGAATTGAAGCATGATAATGAGTACCTATTTCAGATTATTTTAATTTAGATGAAAGGTTAATTTCATATAATACAAATTTTTATTATTTTAATTTATAAAAAAAGGCAAGTTTTTTTTGTACAAGCGTTTGTACATAAACTCGGACAAATGAGAATCAAAATGCTGTCGAGTGGTGGCCCAATGTCGTTTATTACACCATTTAGCACTGCCCCACAGCCTCTGCTGTTTTTGTAAGACACCCACTTTCGGGGTCCACAAAGATGTGATTGACAGTAAAATTTTCAAAGCCGTCATCTTGCAGTTCATCGAACTTGTGTGATTTCCAGCAGTCAGTATAAATAATTCTTCTTTCTGCGATATTTTCCTTTATGTTGTTTAATAAGGTTTTCGCTGATCTATCTGGAACAGTGACTATAAAGCATTCATTCGATTCTCTGCATAATCCACCGAAAACCCATTGTGGCAGAAAAACACATCCAACGTTCTTCTTTTACTAAAAAGGCTTTCGTGTACTTCAATAATTTTGCCACATCCGCCGATTTTTCAACTTGGAGCGATTAAAGCTGCACACCTCACGCATGTAACTGTTGCAGTCTATAATTGTATTGTGGTTCGTCTTCAGCTGGAGTTCACAAAATTCAATAGATGTCATTTCCTGACACCAAAAATAGATGAACCTTACGTCTGTAAGAAAGGGAAATTTCGATCCTTCAAACCAATTTGTCTTCTTAATCCTTTCTTCTCATTGCAAAATTCTTTTCTGTACTGCCATTTCGGTACCGAGTTATCGCTAAAGCATAATTTCATCTCGTATTTGTTCAAACATTTTCTATCATGAATGATGCCTTTTCTTTGAAAAAATTTTATTGCAGGCTTTTCATCACTGGGCAATTCCCAAATTGTTAAATCCATAGCTTTATCAGAAAAGGAATTAAAAAAAATTAAACTAGTATATCAATGGAGACTTGCAAATATAGAACTATCTAAACTTACACAATTTGAAATCAGGACGTTCTCTAGATTTGATCCATTTTGACTACAATTTTTTTACAGTTCCCAAAATGGAATTGTACTGCATTTTGTGCCTTGATATAGTAGGTACATTTGCAATGGGAATGGCAAGTCTTGCCAGAAATAAAATTGGCCCGAACTTTAATATATAATTAATGAGAATGTAGTGAAATGTTACAGCATTTGATTCTTAATTCTTTTGTATTTTTTATTGTGCTAGTCATCTCTAATAGCACTGACTCATGCAGTAGCCTTACCTGTAATTTATATTGTTCGTTGGTGTCCTTAGAGGTATAACATTTTATATTTATCAATCTGGGAAATTTGTTACTAGTTTAACTCTTTGGCATCGAAATCGCCCGTAGCGCCCGT